TGTGATATGCACTGAAAAGTCGTAACTCCTGCTCTATATAAGCATAGTAAAATATTTTTCAAAATGAAAAAATACCTACCTACCTACCCTATTTTTCTGAGGATGATAGTGGAAACAATTTATAGATACCAGCTTTATACTGAAAAAAAAGCAAAAAAGCATTTGATGGTTCTGTGCTGTAAGCTTCTCTCTGCTATATATTTTGAGCATTTCCTTCCCGTTCTGGTTTCAAATCTTGCACAATTCACTTTGATTGCCATCATTCAAGTGTCTCATTAACCCTTTCACTCCTAGGTAACTTTAGTAGACTCTACCACACATTTATCTGGATGAATCCATATTGGTCTACCGTGGTGAAAGGGTTAAATAGATTAAAAAAAACATTGCAAAATTCCATTTTCATATTTCGGTGATATTTCAGGTTCTTTCACCAATTGAGCGAGTTGTCGACGATGTCTGATGGAGGAAAGGAGAAAAGCTACTTTAATGACTCCATTGCTAGTGCAGCCATTTCTTCTACTGATGCTCTGAGCAACATTGCACACAAGGATCTAAGAACTGGTAACAGCTTTATTCAGATCTAAACTAGTGTGTTCAGATCAAGAGTGTACACAATTTAGGTTTAGATCTAAACCCGTTAAACAACTCTGAGCACATTAGTTTAGGTCCAAATATAGCTGTAACAAATTCTCAAGTCCTGTGACATTGCAAGTTTTAAGTCGTTGAAAGTGCTCTGCTGAAGCTAATCGGATCGGATGTTGCATGCTTTGATAATTAATTTGTCCAACTCTTGTCTCCTTCTTCTGTAGTTAAAAGAGTTGAATGTCACTGAAATAGGGATTTAACTATTCCCATTTTTAGCTCACCTGGCCCAAAGGGCCAAGTGGGTTTATCCCATGCCGCAGCGTCTGCCGTCCGGCGTCCGGTTTCCGGCATCTGTCAACTTTTTCCTTTAAAACGCTACTAGTCCTGAACAGCTCAAGAGGATTTTGACTAAATTTGGTCTGGAGCATCATTGGCCAAAGGGTTCTCAGTTTGTATAAATGGAGGTTATGGTCCCCCTGGGGGCAGAGGGGTGGGGCCAAATAGGGGGAAAATAGGTAAATCTTTAAAAATCTTCTTCTCAAGCAATAGAAGGATTTTGACCCAATTTGTCTTAGAGCATCTTTGGACAACGGAGACTCAAGTTTGTATAAACAGAGGATTTTTTTTTCTCCTACTATACAAGTGAAGGGATTTAAACCAAATGCAGTCTTAAGCATGCTTAGGGACAAAAGAATCAATTTTGTTGAAACTGAGGTGTGTGGACCCCCTTCTTTGGGGCAGATGAGTGGGGCCCATTAGGGGAAATAGAGGAAAACATTAAAGATCCTGCTCCTTCTGTAGCGTTGAAGGGATTTTAACCTAACCAAACTTGTTGGGCAAAGGGAATTGAATATTTATAAATGGAACATGTGCCCCCTCCCTCCTGTACAAATGAAGGGATTTAAACCAAATGTGGTCTGAAGTATGCTTAGGGGGGAAAAAATCAATTTGTATAAAAAGGTGCATGTGAGGCCCAATAGGGGAAATAGAGGAAAATTGGGACATAACATGGAAACTCATTTTCTTGTTGTCTTTCCCACCAAAACAGATGAATATGTAGTTCTTCTTGCAACTTTGTTTCTTGTACTCCTTTGATAAACCTGAATGGTACTCAGCAGGTTTTAAATTGAAAAATAAAATACCAGGTGTGCTAATAAGGCCCCTGGGCCTCTTGTATATTGTTTTGGTATGTATTCGCTATTTGCGAGGTTCCCATATTGTTCACCCCTGCAGGTGGGGGATCGGGAAATGAATTCACCTGCCGTTACCCACGGCATGTATCGTAAGAGGCGACTAATGCGCGAACCCCCCTGCAGAATTTGGGCTCTATTTGGGGACACAAATGCGACCAAAATAAATCTGCTGCACCCATTGCAATATTTGGGATCTTTATCTTTCTTTCTACTTCTAACTACCTTTTATTTCCTAGCGCCTTGCTTAGCAACACCTCACTTTTGGCCTTAATGTTGAGTGTCTGTCCTTAAATGACCATAGCTGTTGATAGGACGTTAAACAATACAAAACCAATCGCTCAGGCGAGGAAGGCAATTGGTTCTGACACCAGACTTAGACAGTTTGACAGATAGATGTCCCACACCAGTCTGGTGTCAGGGCCAGGGGGAAACTCGGGCTACTCTTCCCATCTTCGATACTCCAGGGGTTAGGTTCACGTTCGCTCTCTGTACCATAGCAAAATGGAAAGCTCAGTGTGCACCACCTTGTTGATGAGAAAAGAATGCGAGTTCGATCCTTTTTCCTTTGATGTACATCAAACGAAACTTTCGGTCGCATAACGGTAAAAAGTGACCTAAGTCGGATGTCGCTCCTTTGTAATCTTCAAAGGACATGTATTAGCCTAGCGATTGATCAGGTGTTTTTTTTTACCCGATACCAATTAAACAGCTGTCTTTGTGCTTTTTAATTTTGCTATTACATATTCCAGGGGTGCAGAGAGCGAAAATGAGCGTAACCCCTGGAGTATCGAGGATGCGCTCTTCCCTGATGAATAGTCAGTTCACTAACAAATGTTCTGATCAGGGTTTTTTTTAAATCAAAGATGATTGGACAAACCGTATTATTTCGTGCCACCGTCTGGTCGAATCTCTATCTCCCCTCAGGAAGGTTATGATGTGTTCTTGTTCTTCCTGTAGAATCATGAAGACCTCTTACAAAGACCGTACAACAGCAGTCTTATTTTAAGCTGTAGCCTGTCTCCCTTGGTCATTTAATTTGAAGTGGTTGCCGTGTACTATAAGTAATCCGTTCTTGGAAAAGACTGGTTCCCAAGAACAAATACTAATTTATAACAAATACAGACAGGTACAGACTACAACTGTTTTAACAATAATGTTGCAAGCTGAGACAACACTTCATTGTACTTCCAGCTGAAAGTACAATGATGATCAGTTACTGCCGGTCAGCCGATGCATGGGTTCAGTCTTCGTTCTTCCATGCTTGCATGGTGCCGTCTGTTGTTGCTCTGCCCAGCACCCTTCCTGTATCTTCCTATGCTTTCCAGCTTTCCAGATAATCTCCATGTGGATTGGATGGGCAGTACGTTGCTCTAGAGGGGATAATAAACTCGTCTCTTCCTCTTTTTCTGCTATTTTACAACCTCGTTGTAGCTGTCTTGCTTAAATTTTTCTCATATGACACAGTTAACTTCATACATATACTCTTTTTCTTTATATACCAAATTACCATGTCGAAACGAGAACTGATCCTCACAGCTTATAGAAAAAAGTATCTGTCTTGAACTGAGTTAGCGCTCAACCAAGTGAAACCTTTGTTTGTCTTGGTACGATCATAATAAATGGCGTTCGTCCGTTCCAGCACCTCGCATGTTTGGGTTTTGTGTTTTTACTTATTCTGCATATGCGTTAATAGAAAACCCGAATACAATATCGTCAACTCACAAGAAAAATATCGGAACTCAGAGAGTCGATATGAAAGATATAATCAAGAACTGATGGTATATCAAAGCAGAAGACATAATCGTTAGTAACATTCATCCATATCATGGTGTTTTTTTAAAATTTTAATACCGATTAGGATTTGTTTAAGTCATACTTTCACATATGAAGTTTTCACATCTCTGATTCAAGTTGATGACCGAGACATTTTCGACTTCTCAGCTACCACCAAGCAATATATATATATATCAACGATCCTCCAAATATATTCGGTAATGAAGCGGACATTCAACAACTCTAACTAAATAAACAAATTAGATTAAGTTAATTCCGGTACAATGACAGGCTTTGAACAATCCTCTTCACCGGACTCGAAATCATACAATACATAAAACACGATAATACTAACGATATATAAACAAAATGTACGATATAATATCAAAAATATAGACAGTTTAGTGCCGTTAAATTTTGATTAAATTTCATATAAATGTTCGGCTCTGTAATTATAAACCAGGTCTTGGTTTTCCCAAAATTTGTCTAGTCTATTTTTAAAACAGTTTGTGTCTGGACCAGATATCAGTGATTCTGGTAGGTTGTTCCATATGCGTGGTGCTGTCACAGTGAAAGTGTTCCATCTTGATGTTAAGTAGCCCTTTGTGGAAACATTTTTTTGGAATTTCTGTGCTTGTATTGATGGCCCCCGTCTGACCATAATTTTACATAGGTACAGCATGCCTTGTCATATACGCCACTGATAATTTTATATACTTCAATAAGTAGGTAGATTAAGACTTTTAAGCCTTTCTTAATATGATATTTTTTGTAATCCAGGTAAACAGTCGAACATTTTCAGTTAAATCAATATGTTTGTATTTATATGGATACCAGACTGCACTTGCATTATCAAGTTGCGACCAGACAAGACATTTGTATAAAGGTATAACTAATTTCATGTCTATAAAATCACTCGTTGTAGCAGGGATGTGGTTGTAGTAAGTAGTAACACGGAATTAGATCTAAGTCCGTGGTAGTAAGTAATATAAGTAAGCGTGTCCTATAGTATATCAAAAGCTAAACAAAAATGACGAATTTTGTAAACATTTCTTCCAATGGGTATTATGATCATTTTTAACGCGCAGTTGGCTGAATATCAAAACAATGACCGAGATGATTTTCCCGTGGACGAAATGAATCAAGAACTTTGAAAAATAAAATCAGATTTGACTTATAGAAAACTTAAAAAATCCTTTCTAAAAAGACATAAAGTTGTGAAGTTATGATAACAAAATCTATTTTTCAAAAATGTATGTTATTTAACGTCAACTACTTCTCTCTTGATAAATAGGCCAATCTATTGGCCTATCAAATGTTTGGGTAAACCATTGATTTGGCAACAAAAAGTAGCGTTCAAACAGAGACGTATTTTATATGTCTCTGGTTCAAACAAGGAAGATAACTGGAACAGACGAAAAACGCGACGGAACTCTTCTGTAATTTAAAACCAGAAAAAGTCGTTTCCAAGAATGGCGGAAGTGAGTGTCTGCGACTCTTTCTAAACTTAATTATTTTCATAATGTGTTGAATATACATTCCCAATTAGTACAATAGCTCGACAATAATTATTTAAAGACACATACATGTACAGCCATTTTTAGGTTATTGATAAAGAGGAGTAACTGTTCCTAAATCACAAACAGTTAATGTCAGACTGAAACAGTTCGTCACATGACACATTAACAAGATCACCTACAAAATGACAATTTTCCCCAAAAAGATGAAAACTCCTCTTACCTGGTAGACAGTTGACTAAGGAAAAGTATTTGTTAAATTTACACAACGTCAAAGATAATAAATTACAAGCAGACAACAAAGCATTGCTTCTGTTGTAACACCTTGTGGGTGTACAAATATGACCAGGTCCAGTACACTCTGCCGATTGAGCTATATAGCTATAACTGATAAAGACCTATATAGCTATATACACCTATAAATTATAGCTGTATTTAGCTATATTTTCTCAGATTTTAAATTTCATTAAATTAGAGCAAAGTCGCATAAAACAATAAGGTTCATGGTAATGTTGTCTGATCAGAGCATACAGTTAGATGTTTATTTTCATTTTTCATAAATGTAAAATTTCCGATTTTTTTACATCATTATTTTTTAAAAAGAATACTTATATTTAATGTCTTTTGTTATCAACCTAATGATACAATCTTCTTTTAAAAGCGACTTTGTTTCGTTTTCTTTAAAAAAAGAAAATCACTTGAAAATAGCTCAAAAGACCTATTTCAGATAGGTCAATAGAGCTAGCTATTATAGGTCTTTACAGTTCAGATTGTATGATCTTGTTATGAATATATTTTCTGTTTATTTTCAGGAAATAAAAGCATACCTGTCCAAATTGATGAAGACGTGAGTAGATTTTTTTTCTTTATTTTTGTAAGTTTTCCCTGATGTATAGATTTGCTCAGAAACATATAAAGCCTATATATATGTAGCATATATGTCTCTGATTTGCTTATCCAAATATTTGTGTAACAGGAGAGATAAAATGCACAGCCAGACCGTGATTCGAACTGGGACCTTCCGAACTCTAGACTGATGCTCTACCAATTGAATTGAGCTATCTGGTTGCTGACGATCGCCCCAATCTGCTACATTCCTCCCTCCTTTTTCTATGTTGTCACCCCGAAGACACAACTTTTTAGTATAAAAGATGTGCATTGAATAGGTTGCCTTACAAGCGTCAGCTGTAGGGAATTTCCCTTCAGCTCAGCGGTAGAGCATCGGGCTGGAGAGCCATGGGTTGCGGCTTTGAGCCCCAGCGACAGCACTTTCTTCATCACTATTCCTCGTCCTACTACATTTGATTACAAAGTTAACTTTTGAATTAATGCATCATGCTTGTCTGACGAATATTACATTAAACTGGTTCCAATGAAAAAAAGTCTTTGTACCAAGTTTTAGATATATTTATATTGAAAATAAACATAGCAATATCACTAAAACTTCTATAAACATAAGTTCTACTTTGTATAATTACTCAAACCGAAATTTTGATTTCATACCTTTCAGAGTTACAGGCCTTTATGCTATATTAGTAACAGACAGAGATGGTGTTCCTGTTGTCAAAGGTAAGAATTATTTTGGAGAAAAATGTGAGGCATCTCTGTATAGGCTTACCACAAGATAACACTAATTTTTCACTTGTTAAGCTACCTGGTAAATGTTTCCAATATAATTGAAATAGAAATGAGAATGAAAAAAGGAAGTCTCCATCCAGAATTGGAAGACTTGGGAGTCTTTGACCTACCTGCTAAAAGCGTGTCACCCCTGAGGGAAATCTGATGGGGCAAAGTGGAGAAAATAGAGCTAAATACTTAAAGTCCTACTCCTTTAGTATAGTTGAAGGAATTTAAACTAAATGATGTGGCCATACCCAAACAAAGGGATAGCATCAAATAGAGGTCCAATGATTGTAGCCATACATGGGCAGAGTGACAGAATTCAACTGGTAAATTTCAAACAAGACTACTTTTTAAGCCAAGATGAGGGGATTTAAACATAATTTGATACAGAACAGCTTTAGGTCAAATAGACTTATTCGGCTGTTAACATAAGTTTGAGGCCTGATAATAGGAATATGATATTAGCCAACATAAGGCCCCAAAGGATAAGGTAAATATCTTAAGACTTTACTAAATTTCTGCCTCTTCTTAGTTTGTATTTATTTCATTCTTTCGATATGGGTGTATCGCATTCAACATAAAATAAGTAAAGAGCATGCGTGAACTGTTAAAACCCTGGGCCACATGTTATTATTAATTAAAACTGTGTATGCCTTCTGTTAACAGTGTCATCAGAGCAGGCCCCAGAATTGGCATTGAGGCAAGACTTCCTGTGTACCTTCAGCGGGGGAACAGAGCAGGCCAACAAGATGGGCTTTAAGAAAAATGATTCAGTTGTCTGCATGTATCAAAACTATCAGGTAAAGTAGGCTGTATAAAAATATGAAACTAAAGAATCTTTTAGATTCTCTTCGTTTCCATTAAGGATGTCACAATAGCTGAACAGATTCAAAGCAAATATGATTTCACAATAGATGATTTGAGGTCGAATGAGTTTATTGATAAACGGAAATAGGAAGTACATCCCTAGATGAAAATCCAATGTAGGGAGACAGTATCACCATTTCTGCATATTCTAATGTTTAATCTTAAACTGATGAATATTGTATGTTTATTATTGACAGAACAGTGTGTTCTCTCAATATTAATTATTTCAAAGCAATCAGGCATTAATTCTTAAACTGATGAATATTGAGTCACATGTGTCCATTTGTCTTTACTTCAGGAAACCGGCTACCTATTTCACTACTGTGAAGTTTTTCAAGAAAGATAACTCTTGCATGCAATTACTATGTGTATATAGTTGTATTATAAATGTCAATTTTTAATCGTTTATAGATAATTTATTTTACACAATTTCAGCATTTATTAAATTGATATACATTAATGCACTATTAATCTATGGCAGTATCATTTTTATTGACATTATTTTGCAAAATATTGTGTCTTTTTATTTTTATTTCAAAATTCACTCCTTTTTACATAAATTTCTATTTAAAATCCTTAAAATTTTGACAACCCATTTTTTTTTTTGTGGTAGAAAATTTGCTTTACTTCAAAGCAATATAACTACAAAATTTGAAGAAATTCTACTGAGAAATGGTGACACAAACCTATTACCTTAAGTCGACAGTGTCAGTGATATTGCTGTAGATGGTAAAGAAATTCTGGCTATGGCATATCAACATTTTCATCACATGTATGAACTACAGTGTATTTGAACAAATTTTAAGTATTGCAAGATAAAACATGTTTCCATTATTTGCTTTATTTTAATATCCCCTTTTTCAGGTGGTACAGGTAAATTGCCGTCCTTTGACAGTGACCTATATTGCGGAGAGTGACACAAATACAGGTGAGAAAGAATAATTAAGCCTCCAAAAAGGTAAACACTTACACATCCCCAAATTCCCTGTAAATCGGTATCATACCAAGTCTTGTTTAAAATCTGGAGGGGAAAACCCACATATGATGTAAATAATGAAATTATTTTATTTTATCAATTTTCACACATAAAGCTGTTCTGTAACCTTGGTAGTGTTACGTAAAATGATTTTCATTGTACCTGGTCTTATCTCTACAAACATTTTAATAGGAACATTCAGTCTTTCTTAAAGCTAAATAGTTAAATTCCATGAGTAATATTGACTGTGACATATGTTGATTCCATTTTTTCAGTTAAATCTTCAACTGTTATGGGTGCATTGTAAATTGTATAAAAGGCCAGAAATCATATGACCTCTCATAAGTGAATTAGGCTCTACAAGAATTTTGTTTCTTCTAGAACTATTGTCTTTAGACATATGACTGTCATTGTACCATAGTTGCAAACATCATGTAACTGTGCTCTGAAGACGGCCTCCCCTTGGCCGAAACTTGTCAGCACGTAGGATGTAAATCAAACATTACATTTTGTACCGGATACATTGGTGTTGTTGCTCATCATTTCTATTTCATATTGTATTTAGTGTTTATAATGTTGGGTATGAACACTGCTGATTAGATTGTAGAGGTTTTGCTCTGGCTATTTTAGAACTGATTTTATGTTCTTTATTCCCACAGGTTTGCTGTTAAGTTTAAAAGACGATATGAAAGACATTTTAAATGACATTTCATCCGTTGTGATTACATCGTAAGAGGAAATGTCACAGTCCAGTACTTGATGTGTTATAGACATATTATAAACTAGAAGGTGTAAAACAGCAAATGAGAAACGTGGTATGCCTATTATGCTGAAGACGAAACCTGGACTTGCATATGTAGGTGAACTATTTGCTTTGCGAGCAAAAGAAGAAATGAAAGAAAAGCGTGTTCGTAGTCAAAGTGTGGTATAGATCCATCGATTGAGTGAATGTTTCACCTCTGTGTTATGCAGTAGAATATGTTACAGATTTATAAAGGGAATAATATTATGGAAGTGCTACCCTATATTTAAAGATATTTTTTTCTCAGTGATGTTTTGGGACATTTCTATCACAAGAGAATAAGAACAATATATAAGTCTGGCTGGTTCTGCTTTTGGTTTACACCATCATTGTGTACTTTTAACTTTTAATAGAGAATTGTGATATGCATATAATTTGACTTGAACTTAAAAAAATGTGCTAAATTAATAAATATTAAGTTCCACAACTGACGTTTAAATTATATTCTTCTTAAGCATATTTATTTCACTGCATAAATTTGGAAGCAGTCTGGAAACAATGTGATATTGGATGTTAACATTGTAAGCCATGGAAACTAGTAAGGTTTTGTTAATGTAATTAATAAGGCTGCAGATGATGTCCTGTGCATAAATGTGTAAATAATGGATCAAGTGAATGTGTTTGTTTGTGTAATGGAAGGGGACATATCGGAAAGCCCCAATCCCTGTTTATATCCTTTTGTTTAATATATAATAATACATCATATTTTTAAAATAATTACTTCCCTTCCCTTATGAGCCATCTGTTGTAGAGTAAATTTATTGTTACTTGTCTGTTTCAAGATAACAAAATCATTCAGGATGCTGTGTGTGGGGGATGGAGGTTATTATTTGATGTCTGGAACAAAAATTTTTTTTTTTTTGACAAGAACAAACATGTTGGCAAAGCATGTGCTTTAATCAGCAATCCTAACAAAAAAGTGGTTATTTTTCTTTGACACTTTTGTTATGAGCTGTCTGTAGCAGAGTATTTGTCATCTACACAAGATAAAAATGAGAAACCTCACTCCAGTAAGAATCACCTTCATGTAAGATTAACTCATTCACCCCTGAAGACACATTTGAGCTCTTCCAATTCAAAGGTTGGAATAGTTCATTACGAAATTTCAGGGGTGAATGAGTTAAACTTAATGCCCTGCTAGTCACCTCATATGATACCTTGACGCATACAATTCGCGTTGGTAAAGTTGTTGACTGATGTTTCTATGGTACCTGGTGTGTAATTTACTGGTCACGAAGGATATGAAGCTGGTACTAGGGTACTAGTGTGGAAGGCATGCACTTAGTGTGAAAGATATGAAACTGGTAAGAAAGGTAATACAGGTACTTTGTGCAAAATATATACCTGCTGAAGCAGAAGATTTATATAAAAATGTGCTTGGAGAAAAGATACATACATGATACAAAAACAGATGTTTCTATAACAAAAGCTATGTATTTAGTAAAGAAAAAAATGTGTGTATTACATGGTGCAAAAGAGATTTATGTATTTGGTGCAAAAGATCTACAGTATTTAAAATTTACCCTGTACAAAAAGACAGGACCTACATGTAGTACCTGGTACAAAAGAACATACCTGGTACATGTGGAAAAGCTTTGTACACCATGCATATGTCAGTTTATTTATTCAAAGGGAATATCTGGGTTTGAATCATTGCCTTTTAATCTCCTATTACTAATGCTCTTACGCAAGTGCATTCTGTTTTTTTGCGATTTATTCGGTACTTGCCAAAATAAATGATACACAGTGCTATATAATACATAATAAAATAACAGAAAAATAAAAACAGAAAAACAGGAAGAGTTGTTTTGAATTTCATACAGACCATGACCCATTGTTTTACATTTAGAATAAAGTGTATTAAAAGAAAAGCTAGTATGGACGATATATAGGGGATAATTCGTGAATTTTTCAAACAGCAGCTTTGCATGCTCTGTTAGTGTCAGAGCTGTCATATTTCAGATACTTTCTTCGGGATGCAACATTTGATGTGCAAGTTTAATCTAAGAATTAAAGCGTATGTTAATACAAAAATATGTTCAATGCTTGAATTCATCTATATTATAGATTTTTCTGTTTGGTACCTGAAAAAAGTCACACAAGTTAAAATTAAATTAATAGGAAGTGAACCGTTTTCCGTCCTTTATATACATGTACATAATAGTCGGTAACAGAAAGCCCGAGTTTCCTCTCGCCCTGACACCAGATTTACGTTAGACATTTTGACAGATAGATGTCTGGTGTCGTTTTCCGTCCTTTATATACATGTACATAATAGTCAGTAACGGATAACCCGAGTTTCCTCTCGCCCTGACACCAGATTTACGTTAGACACTTCGACAGATAGATGTCTGGTGTGGGACAATTTTCTGTCAAAATGTCTAGGTCTGGTGTCGGGGCTAGCGGAAACTCGGGCTAGGTAATTAGAGTGTTGATTTTGTTGGTTATTTTTGTAATTTAAATGCAACAAAACACACATAAGCATAACGAAGGATCATTTGAAATTTATCCCCAAACCAAATAGTAAGCATTACATAAGGCTCATAGTGTATCTTTTTGATTGTCAAATCTACGTTTACATTCGACCTTTGAGCAACAGACAGTACATGTTCCCTAGCATAGTCATAGTTCAGTATTAATTCGAAGCCATCTATGAATCTTCATTAAAATGTATTCAGTCGTTTAGAACTCATTGCCGGAACAAAGATTTGACATTTGATCGTGTAGTGATCTAGGCAATGCTGACACGAGAGTCTAAACTATTATAAAGTTAATTGATATGTCCATGCTAACATTCGGGGCAACAAGAATGATTAATATAAGTTGTAACAACTTGTATCATAATTGTTGTAAAATAAGTCTATATGTATATGAGACTTTCAAAATGGCCCATATCATAGACGCAGCCTTATAAACTTGTGAAGACATATAAACTTGTGAAAGTTTATCTAATTCATATTCAAATTGTTTAAATGTGCTTTAATTCACAACATTAGACGGAAGTTTGTTCCATAAATCAACAGTTCTCTTTGTAAACGAAACTTTTCGAATATTTAATCTTGAATGCGATTTGTAAATTTTAAAGTTGTGTCCACGTGCAGATGAACTTTCCCTTATATTAAATATGTCGGATACTTCATGGTCATATTTCCCGGACAATATTATGTAAACCTCTATCATGTCGCCACGTGATGTTCTATGGTGAGTAATTATGAAAGTCTCGAGTAATCTAGCTATTATCAATACTTGTAGCGTCGCCACTACGGACACGGAAATCCGAGTTTGTTCTTCAGTATAAGAGTGATCTAAGGAGAATGAAGTACTTTGTTCCCATGTTGTGGAAGGGAAACGATGAGGTTGAATGTATACTTCATCCTAAATCAATGTCTACGTGTATCTAATTGGTCGTTTACCCAGTAATGCTAAATTTCGTGACACTTGAGGTTGGTCAGTAAACTTGGCATGTGAAAAGGCATATTTCTTTTTATCGCTAAATCAACAACGTTTACTTTATTTTCCACACATTAATATTAAAATAACACATCACAAAAAGAAAATGTCAAAGAGGAATTAAAATTCCAGACCCCTCCCTGAAGACACTTGGGACCTGTAACCACGATTCAACATCTGTACCCATCTTAATATAAAATGAGTGAAATGTCAGTACTATCCGGCAAAAGGGCTGAAGTCATTTCGTCGGCGTTGTTAAATTTTCCTGTTGGTTTAAGAACATTCTTCATTTCCTCTCTCATAATGTTGTTGGTGAATAATGTCAGGTTGGTGAATAATGTCAGGTTGGTTCCCAAAGCAGTAAAGCTTTTGTTTCTTTTGCTCTGTCTTTTAAAACATCGGATTTCATGATAATTGTACAACCGTTACACATAGCAACCTTAAAACTATTCGAACGTGAAATTTTGCGATGAAGTGCATATTGTTTTATCCCATTCTTCCCATGTGATGTTTCCCCCATCCTCGATATCCAGGGAATACGCCCACTTTCGCTCTCTACACCCCTGGAATATGTCATAGCAAAATTGAAGGCACGAAGATAGCTGTTTGATTGATCTCGGATAAAAAAAAACCCCGACCAATCGCTTTTTACCGTTACGCGACCGCGAGATTCTTTTGATGTACATCAAAGGATCTTTTGCTATGACATATTCCAGGGGTGAAGAGAGCCAAAGTGAGCATAACCACTGGATATCGAGGATGGTTTCCCCAGACGTCTCTGGTTAGCTCGTTGATACATAAATGGACCACATGAGTCACTGGTTAATTGTTGTGTAATCATATCTACGACTAAGAGTTATACGCAAAATATCGGTTAACAACCATCAGCTGAAAATGTTAACCACCGTTTTCGAGTTTTAATCCGTCGGTTAACTTATGAGGACAGATTGACGAGTAAAAACATCCACGTGTTTTACGGCAAGGGTTGCCACCATGAGTGTATAGGAGTGTTAATGACAAAATACGCGTGTTGACGCGATTTTGATGATGAAAACCACCAATCGGGACGAAATGTTTCAAAGATCAGGTAATCTGGAGAGTGCAGATCAAACAAAAACATGGATATGTAAATCATCTCGCTATGGCAAGGTGATTTTGATTTAATATACAAAAGTATTCTTGCGCACCTGGCACAAATTGTCTACAAACTCGCCATTTTTACGTCTTGAAATTTCGCTTTATTGTAAAATGACGGTTTCTACATAATCATACTAATTTATATGATGTAACCAAGGGTAGTCTAATAGGGGATTTGGTTAAACTAATTAATATAATGTAACCAAGGGTAGTCTAGTAGGGGATTTGGCTTAACTAATTAATATAATGTAACCAAGGGTAGTCTAATAGAGGATTTGACCAAACTAATTAATATAATGTAACCCAAGGGTAGTCTAATAGGGGATTTGGCTAAACTAATTAATATAATGTAACAAAGGGTAGTCTAATAGAGGATTTGGCTAAACTAATTAATATAATGCAACCAAGGGTAGTCTAATAGAGGATTTGGCTTAACTAATTAATATAATGTAACCAAGATTAGTCTAATAGAGGATTTGGCTTAACTAATTAATATAATATAATCAAGGGTAGTCTTATAGAGGATTTGGCTTAACTAATTAATATAATGTTACCAAGGGTAGTCTAATAGAGGATTTGGCTAAACTAATTAATATAATGTAACAAAGGGTAGTCTAATAGAGGATTTGGTTAAACTAATTAATATAATGTAATCAAGGGTAGTCTAATAGAGGATTTGGCTTAACTAATTAACATAATGTAACCAAGGGTAGTCTAATAGAGGATTTGGCACATTTATTCGACTTGTATCGGTAATTTCATAAAGAAACCTAATAGTGTACGAAGGGGTTATTTACGCCGACTAAAATTCGCGATTTGGACCTAAAATAAGAATATATAATATAAACGGATTATAATTTCGCGATCTAGACATGTGAAGGAACTTAATTCGCGATGTTTTAGTACAGGACGGGACACTCGGTATATTAAGGGTCAAATAGGTTAAATGACAGCATATTGAGCAACAACACGTAAGTTGTTTTGTTAAACAAATCATCAACAAAACTATAAGATGTGTGATATAACCTACTTTCAAACATCATTACATTGTATGTATATGAATCCTCACAACCTTATGCGCGCAATTTCATTACAACATTCTGGTTCAGAAGTCTGTTATTGTGGCTCATTATACACTTGTCATATTTTTTTGCGGATCATTTTCGCGATTGCGTTATTGAACAGCGAAATCGCGAAAATATTGTCCCGCAGAAATATCCTGTTTTACGGTAATTATACAAAAATCAATATACCATCTTTAAGTTAAGCAATGCCGGTTAGAGGACGTATATATATTATCACCTACTGCACCCCATTGCTTGATCGTATGGACAACTGATATATGATCTCCTTAATGAGCGAGGGTTTCATTCTGTTGTATCGTGTTCGGGAAACGAAAGAGTTCAAGTTTTGATCTGCTGTTCTTAACATATATATCATATATACACATTTGTAATTGTACTATGCAAACATATACTATATAATGACATGTGTACTATCCGCATCCTTTTTTAACACTGGAACCGCGTTCTAGGTATTCATATCATCAATAGACGATTGTTTACTTTGAACATGTCGGGATTATCGGGTTGTTTTCTATTGTTTTTGAGGAGACTGTGACGGTGTAATGGTCACACTGGTACAGTAGGCGACCGAGTGAGGTTTAAAACAGCCCTAGTGTGTTTCAATCATATATGCACGTCTTTATATTACATTGTCTCAATCCTTAATATGAGTACCGGGAAATTTTCGCAGTGTCAATTTCGCCCTTTACATTTCATTACTATGTATTTTTTGTTGTTTACTTATATTCGCTGTGATGATAAATTCGCACTTATCAAGGAGGGCGAAAAAAGGCGAAAATTAAACTGCAGCGAAATTTCGCCCTTCACATTTCTTTACTATGCGAAAATTTCCCGGCATACAATAATGATTAAATGTAAGTCTTGATGGTCTTAAGTTAGATTAGTTTTGTTTTATCATGAGAATATCTAGGTAGATGAACGTACGACACACACACGTGATCGCACCAATACAATTAAATACTAATAAGATAAAGCTTTAAAAAAAATCTAACTACCTTGCACCATACAGCTGTTTCGTCCTTCTAGGACTAATTGGCGATGCTAGGGATTAAAAAAAAAGATGGAAATTGAGGTTAGTCCACAGTTGAAACAGAAAGGGAGATGCGCAAAACCTGTAATTACTGGTATGTTAATTTAAAAAAATAGTTTACGAAACGTTACACCGACTTTTAATTGTCCTACACTGTCGAGACAATAAATCTCTGTGACCTTGACGTACCTGTGGTGGCGAGGACACCTGCACGGGCTGATGTCTTGTACAGTGGGGCTCTGTAGTCCACGGGGTCAGGACTAAAGTCCATCTTAAGCTCCATATGATAACGGGGAGGAAGTCGTTCATGACGCCAGGGATGGAGTCCACCACCACCATGTCCTCCCAGCGACATCCGTCCATGAACATGCCATGTACTAGTACGCCGTCAGCAGGGAGGTCAATCTGTAACATATAGCTCATACATATCACAGGTGTCATAGAACAGGCATACATTACAGAGTTGTTGCCCTTGGATGGGGAGACATTAATATTTCTTTCCCTGATACAAAATCTGTTCTTGAAAATTGCATGAAAAATGTTTTCATGAATCCGGAACAAGACTTGAAAAGGGAAATATGCATTCAGGTTTTCCTTGTACAAGAGCAATACATAAATTAGAAGTTCAACAAAATAGAGGAGTGCTGGGAAATTTCAAATTGAAATTGAGTAAAGCGTGTATAATATGAAGTATGATAAGAACCAGGGAGAGAACGTCAATAGAACACATGACTACCTATATTACTTTTCGAACTAGGGTATGGATAACAAAGTTATGGGTCCTCTGACAAATAAACTTGAGCATGAACAAATGTACCTTATTAATAGTTAGAACACATTTCTACGCATAACAAAATCTACACAAACGTTTCAGAGACGAGAATGACATACCCTATTTCTATTTTATTGATATTTAATAAGTTAAGATGTTTTGTAAAAGATATTATGTATTTTGTGTTCGTTGAAGATTTCCAGGACAATAAAACATACAAATTATGAATTTTGTTAAAGCTTTAATATTTGCAGATTACATTACATAGATGAGTTAAAAATCAAGTAATACTTGGAAAATGTACTTTTCCATATAAACAAATGTACGGAAAAAAAAACATCCATCCAAACCGAGACGTCACAATAGGGATGACCTATATAAAGTTCAAACTAACGTGTTGTCTAATTTATACATGACTAATAGAAAGTTTCCAAAACATCAGTCACTAAGTGTTAAGCTTTCTTTAAAGCTTTGTCCTGAAGATGACTCGGAAGTCCGAGATCTTCAGTATAAGAGTTCATAAGAGGCGGTTGCCTGTATATCGTACTTATGTACAACTGTATTCGTCATATCCCCAGCAATATGATATGATATTTTGTGATATTTGTGGTTTGTTAGAAAACTCAACAGGTTACAAGGTTTGTTTCTTTTCACTGCAAAAAATATATATGTTATCTTCAATTGGAAAACATAATCATTAAAATAACAGATCATGAAATAAAAATCATATAATAACAAAAAAATAATTAATTAAATTGATTATAACAATCCGTACGCCCTAGGTTTTATCTATTAAAAGTCTTTTTTTTGTAGTGACAGGGACTTTCAGAAAACATCAATCTGTCTTAATCAGATCCATCCATCATCCATCCATCATTTCATCCTTCCGAGTTCAAACTTCCTGCGGTTTTGAAAGCATTCCTCATTATCATGGTTTGATTGTAAATGACAATGGCAATTGCAATATTGTTGGGGTTCCTGCAGCAATAAAGTTGAATGTTTATGTTGTGTTTTAACTGAAACGATCATTTGACAGGATTTCTGTACTAATCCTAGATTAGTTTACACAAAAATAACCACTATATATTTTTTTTGGGATTTGCGAAGGTTAGCTATATATTGTGATAAAATGTTATAGCTTTTTACAGATTAAACCTGTCTCAATCGGTTTTAAATAGTTAAATAACTGGATTAAAGGACTTTAATTATAATAATTTTATCTAAAACAATTCAATATTGTTATAGTAATGTTTATAGTTGAAAAGTATATTCATATACTTTGAACTGAGAATTAAGATGTAATTTTTCCCTGCAGTGTATTATTTCTGCGGGTTTGATCAAGTGATTACAAGTGTATTGAAATCTGTTTTTTATGTCAATGATGAACATTTTGCTCTCGTCTACTGTGTACATGGTAATATTCGCGAGGGGTTCAGTTTTGCTCTCGTCTGCTGTGTCCATGGTATTATTCGCGAGGGGTTCAGTTTTGCTCTCGTCTGCTGCGTACATGGTAATATTCGCGAGGGGTTCAGTTCTGCTCTCGTCTGCTGTGTACATGGTAATGTTCGCGAGGGCTACAGTTTTGCTCTCGTCTGCTGTGTACATGGTTATATTCGCCAGGGGTCAGTTTTTCTCTCGTCTACTGTGTACATGGTAATATTCGCGAGGTGTTCAGTTTTGCTCTCGTCTGCTGTGTACATGGTTATATTCGCCAGGGTTCAGTTTTTCTCTCGTCTACTGTGTACATGGTAATATTCGCGAGGGGTCAGTTTTGCTCTCGTCTACTGTGTACATGGTAATGTTCGCGAGGGGTTCAGTTTTGCTCTCGCCTGCTATGTACATGGTAATATTCGCGAGGGGTTCAGTCTTGCTCTCGTCTGCTGTGTACATGGTAATATTTGCGAGGGGTTCAGTTTTCCTCTCGTGTACTGTGTACATGGTAATATTCGCGAGGGGTCAGTTTTGCTCTCGTCTACTGTGTACATGGTAATGTTCGAGAGGGGTTCAGTTTTGCTCTCGTCTGCTGTGTACTTGGTAATATTCGCGAGGGGTTCAGTTTTGCTCTCGTCTGCTGCGTACATGGTAATATTCGCGAGGGGTTCAGTTTGGCTCTCGTCTGCTGTGTACATGGTAATATTCGCGAGGGTTTCAGTTTTGCTCTCGTCTACTGTGTACATGGTAATATTCGCGAGGTGTTCAGTTTTGCTCTCGTCTACTGTGTACATGGTAATATTCGCGAGGGGTCAGTTTTGCTCTCGTCTACTGTGTACATGGTAATGTTCGAGAGGGGTTCAGTTTTGCTCTCGTCTACTGTGTACATGGTAATATTTGCGAGGGGTTCAGTTTTCCTCTCGTCTACTGTGTACATGGTAATATTCGCGAGGGGTTCAGTTTTGCTTCATTCGCGATCGACAAAGATAGCGCGAAATAAAAAAAAACTATCGAATTATAATCTTCGTGAATATAATATTTACAGACGCAAAAGAAAAATATCTGTTTATCCGTTTGCTGCCAAGTAATGTAGATCAAACAACAATTCAATGTAGTATTTTGCTTTATTTTACACTACATTAGTAAAATGAATACCCATCACCGAAATGCATTTACCTGGTCATGTTGCGCGAAATTTAATCCCAACGAACTAGTTCTGACCGGGACAACCGCGAAATAATAGTCCCGCGATATTAAATAACCAAGCTAGCGTATTTCTATGGGTTGTTATGTGTGCATTTTAGAAATTAATTTCATCAGCTATTGGACCGTATTTCCGAGACCCTGCAGGTAGGGCGTAAGATTTGTACCTGCTGCCCCCATTGCATGATCGTAAGAGGCGACTAAATTTGGGATCTTATCTTTTCTCTTCTTTCTTAACAACTTTCTTCTTCCTAATGTTTCCCTTGACAATGCCTCTCTTTTGGCCTTTAGTTGAGCGTTCGCCCCCTGTGATGAAGGCTTTGGGTTCTGTTCCCTAGCCGAGACATACCAGAGTCTGTAAAATGGTAGTTTCTACTCCTGCTTAACGCTCAGCAATTTGGGAGTGGGACTACTGGTTCGCCCGTTGTCAGTATAATGTGACCGAGTGGGGTGTCCTGCTGGATGTCTGCGGCAGTATGTTTCAGTGAGGTAGCACTATATAGTCGGCATCAGTTCCGCGCTATCACAAAGAGACAAACACAAACATATCGCAGCCAAAACACACACGCATACACTTCACGCAGGCATCTTGCAAACAAGGAAGGCCGTCCTTAAATGACCATAGCTGTTGATAGGACGTTAAACCGTATTTCCAACGGCACATGTGCACCGTACTCATATGACATGTACTATGTTACCAATGTGTCTCTCCAAACCAAGCAAACGCATGGAAAACCATATCACCATTTGGAACGCAAGTAAAATAACTCAACGTAAAAAATAAACACAAATAAATGTTTTATTTCGAATCTACGACAAACTAAAGCACGTCAAGTATCAGTCACTTAATATCCCCTTCAAATTTCAACCAATTGAAATGCCTGTTCAGCATCAATACATTTATCTATCCTATATATCTATATGAACCGTCTCATTTAACATTATGAGGTCCAATCCGTAGACATACAGATCTTGAGTTTGATCATAAAAAACCCACAAATCCAACGATATGTTCAAAGATCCGGCTAGAATTTGAGAGAGCGTATCGACCAAGACATGGACGGGTAAGTCGTTTTATATTAAATACTTGAGTATAAATTCCAGGGTTAGGCTTTTAGTTTATATTGTCTCAGTTTGTAGTGATGTCTTGAAGCTTTTAAGTTCTTGCGTTTTGACGAGGTCTTCTGGTAGGTTATTCCACTCTGTTGTTGTTCGGGGGGGGGGAATGAATTTTTAAATACATGTATGTCGACTGTATTACACTGGAAATGTCGGTAATTTTCACTATTTTTTGATCTGGTACGGGTGTTTGATGGAGTCAATATGTGATCTACAGGTATGGCCACTAGCCCCTTTACGATCTTATAAAAATGGGCAAGCCGATGGTCTCGCCTGCGATCCTTTAGTGGTGTTAGTTTTAGAGTTTTCACCATTTCTGTAAACACTGCTGTCCCTTCTATAGTTTGATGTTATAAAGAGGGCAGCGCGGCGTTGTACCTTTTCCAGCGAGTGGATGTTGTTTTGCTGGTAAGGCCGGTCCCATATCGTGCAGCTGTATTCCAGGACGGATCTCACCAGCGATTTGTATGCGGTTAGTTTCAGTGACGCTGGGCTCTGTCGCAGGTTTCATCTTAGAAATCCGAGAGTGGAATTTGCCTTGTTGGTTGTGTTACGGATATGAGAGTCCCACTTCACGGAGTTGTGAATAGTCACCCTCAAAAGCCTTCGCCTACAGAACTATAAGTAATAGAATCTTGAAGATGACTCGGTTTAAGGGTTATCATATATTCATTCATATAAATTACACTGGCTTATTGTTTTCATTGTTAGTGTTCAAAAATCTTCCATCGACGTTTCATGCAAAATGAAAGACCATCTTCCATGATGATTATACTGTAGCTCTGTTCGGGGGTTTCAGGTGTGTGACCTTGATCATTGTCACGTTCAATATTGTCATAAAGGTCAATGTGTTAAAATCTATTTAGAAAAACTAACTTTCTGAATCATGATCCATAAGGTCATAATATTTGTTAATAACATAATACATATACAGTCTTGACATTTGTCTTAGTTATAGCATTAGAGAGTCGAAGGCTATCGAATAGTCGACTAAATCTTTCTTTACCATCTTTCAAGGTAACGGGGTCAAATAAGTTAAAAATACAATAGCCTATGTGTACTGGCAACTTTTGTTTTACATATTATACTGTACGTGTTGTGAAATAAACTATTGTACTGACTCTATAAGGTTTTAGAATGTGTATAAACACCGGATAAAAAGTGTTGCTGTTATTTACTGGTGTGTATGGGTTTATTATTAACCGAAAGTATCCCGATACCTCGGTACCCCCAATTTTTATAAGGTTTTAGAATATGTATATATTTACTAGTGTGTATAGGTTTATTATTAACCGAAAGTATCACGAAACCGAGCCCCTGTGTTCCATACGCTTACAGCCTCAACTTCGTGGAAAACTCGTACATCTTTTACACCTTTATGTACATGCGCTTCATTGGTCATTTGTTTGATGAAGGTCACAGAATACATACCGTACAACGTCACATATAAACACTTTTTAGCTCACCTGTCCCAAAGGGCGATGTGAGCTTATACCGTACTGCGGCGTCCGTCGTCCGTCCAACTTTTTCTTTTGAACGACTTCTTCTGGAGGACCTAGTGTCATGCTATTTGGCCAGTAGGTACCTTGGATGGAGTGCTATAAACTTTCCACATTAAAATGACCATGACCTACTTTCAATGTCAAAGGGGTTAATATGTTAAAAATTTCAAACAACAATATCCTAAAAAACATTTGGACCAGAGTCATGGTACTGGGTTATGTTATGTAGACCAGCAGTGCAAATCCTTTACTTAATTACGTAATGAGGTAAAAGGTCAACTTTAAGTGCTATTCGGGGGTCAAAGGTGAACATAGGTTAAACGCTTTAACAATCTTCTTCTCAAGTTCTATAAGGCCCAGGGTCATGCTATTTGGCAAGTAGGTACCTGGGATGGGGTGCTATAAAGTTTCCTCATTAAAATGACATTGACCTACTTTCAAGGTCACAGAGGTCAAATATGGTAAAAACTTCATGTTATGTAGACCAGCTGTGTGAATCGTTTTCTTTATTACAGTAATGAGGTCAAATGCCAACTTTAAGTGCTAGCCGGAGTCAGAGGTCAATGTGGGTTAAAAGCTTTGAAATTAAAATTTCAAATTTCAAACAGCAATATTTCAAGAACTAAGAGATGTTAAAATGTTATGTGTTGTAGTTACCAAATTTGGTCTGAAGTTACCTATTTGTCAGTATCATGTAACAAAAGAAACAGGTGATCCAGGCCCCCTGGGCCTCTTGTTGGTTGTGTTACATGAATCTTCACATAATCATCTCTGAATTTTTTCTCTGAGCGAGATGTTTTAATCAGTTTCTGAATTATACCGTCATACAAATGTATAACACACTAAAATGCGCTGTAACATGAGAAACTTATTAAATCTCGTCCACATGTTCAACATTCATCCACTTCCGGTATCAGAACGGCTGTGAGTAAAACTAAACCGGGTGAGTTGTAGGGCCTCTTTTTGTCAACATTCCTCAGTTTATTCGACAGTTTATTGGACATCATGAAGATGTATGCTTGTCTACTTTCCTGATTAATATTGTGAACCGTGTTGTATTAAGCCACCTTTCACATCCTGGTAGAAGACTTCAAAAAATCACTCGAGAAGTGCGCACAAAAGATGCTTCTTGCATCTTGTTTCAAGCATTTATTTTGTATAGATAATCAGAATAAAAGCAAACATATTTTTCATTGATAATTTGATTGCTATCGACCAACAATAAGGTTATTAGGCGTATAAACATGTACAATTTGTTATATCTAAAATATTAAACATACATTGTGCACGTAGACGAACTAAACATGAAAACAAAACCATGAAACAGAATAAAACACAACATCAACATAATAGGACAAAAAACCCGAAGCAAAAGTTATATTTAACGCTGGAGATAATCGCTTCCTGCTCCACATGTGGAACCCGTTATCACATCTCCTGGAAAATAAACACCACAAGAACGTCAGTGACAAACGACAAGATGCGAAGAGCATGGCATGCTTTTTAAAAAGTCAGTCGAAGTAATATGAAAAAAGCATTGCTTACAAAACATTCGAATGTTGTACATGTTTATTCATGTCGTTACTATCAGCTCCCAAATATTTAGTTTTTATTTCGTTACAGGTCTGGGATGGAGACGGGCAAACTAGATGATACTGAAAACGAAAGAAGGTCCGTTCTGCTATCAAGGTTACTGGAAAGGGAGTTTTTACTGACACAAGAGGCAGTGGACATCAAGCGGAGAACTCTACTGATGTCCGAATGGCTGTCAAATGATGAAGACCGTAATATGCATGAATTTAAAGCCGGAAGTCGTTCGGAGGGAGTTGATATGGTAGATTCAGATAATGATATACTATTTACAGACCGTCTTGTAACAGTATTATACCCTGACCAGTATGTTCCTCAAAACAGCTCACCCAGGACCATTCTGTTTATGAAAGAGGCCCATGACTGTCGACCTGGCTTTGTGTCTTTAAAGATAGGTCAGTTAGGAAAGAGAGGTCGCCCAGCACTATTAGACGCTATCATACAAAAGGGCGATACGTATTTCGTTTCAAGTGATATCTACAGAGAACAATGCAGCAATTTATTAACAAAAAAAGGCATAAAATCCTTTCCAAATGGTCCAAGCAACACAGTTAACATGCTTACAGGTACTGACTCTGTCATTTGCTTTCCATGTAACAGTTGGCCAAAGGTGGCTAATGAGTGGCTAACACGTACGCGACTGTATGGCTGGCCAAGTGAAAAATTGATCAACAGCATTGGACAAAGTGGCTGTCACATTGTCCCAGTAGGTGACAAATGCTCATCACATGACACACTTTTACAATGGAGGGTATCTTTTGTAGCAGCAGAGCGTCGTTTAGTCCACTCCCTTAGTCACATCCAATTCAAAGTTTATGTTCTGTTGAAATACTTCCTAAAACAGATTAAAGGAACATTAAAAGACACCGTTGGGGATGACGATATATTGTGCTCATATTTCATGAAAATACTCATATTTGTTGCGGTTGAAAATACCAGTCAAAGATTCTGGCAGGAAAGAAACTTCTTCCTCTGTTTCTGGTTTTGCTTCAACATATTGATCGATTGGGTATTGGAAGGTTACTGTCCAAATTATTTCATTCCTGCCCACAACATGTTCCAGAGGAAAGTTCACGGACAACACCAACGAAAGTTACTTGAGATTTTAAACAACTGTCACAGGATGAAATGGATGTGTTTTCCTCATCTTTTGAAAAGTCTCTCTAATCCAAGGACCCAAGCCGAACTTCAGCACCCTCGTGATTCACAAGACATTGACTGTGGTGTAGATATAACAGTCATAAACGCGTTACGCAGAGCTGGTCCCATTAACCGAAATGTCTTGAAAACGATGGCAAAGACTCTTCATTTGCTGTCAAAGTCACAGACAGAAAGTGAGGAGATAATCACGTATACATATGCGATGAACACACTTTCTGAAATAGCACGGATTCGTGCTGATCAGGGAAGCATGGTAGATGGTCAAGGCAACAAGTCGAGGTACAAAACTCTGAGAAAATGTAAACACTGGTTGATTCCAACGGCATCGTTTGGCACAAACGTGTTGTATCTAGCCACTTTCCACTTCCTGATGGGAGACTACAAAAAGTCACTGGAGATATGCATACAAGTGATGCCTCTTGCATCTAATTTCAAGCAAAATGTTTTGCACAAATCATCAGAAGAAAAAGCAAGATACATGCTCAAATACACCGGACAAGGACAGACCTTACTATATAGATGTAGGAAAGAATTTAAAAACGTCTTAATATTTTTCAAGGAGGAACCTTGGATGTGTCTTCCTCATCTTCATACAGAACTATCGAAGTGCAACTATATCATAACTATCTGTCCATTACCGTACGCTGTGTTCCTGTTGTTCATGTGCTTTCACGAGCTTGGTGACACCCGAGGGCGTGATGCTGCACTACGTCAACTGAGAGTGGTCAAGTATGACCATGAGCAGGGTGGACATCAGAGCTGCTGGGTGCATTACCTACTACATATCTGCTTCAAAACTTTAGGGGACAACCACAGGGCTGATAGAGCCTATCGGGAAGCAGAACTTGCATCTGCTAGCAGGCGATGGAGAAAATAGCTATGGTGTACTTTAGTGTGTTTCTTATATGGAGAGGAGAACAAAGGTGTATCTAGTCTTTTATTTACCTACAAGCCATGAGCCAAAAACTTACGTTTTCTTTCCAATCTGGCTCGTTGTTTTCTTGAAGGTTCAGTAAATTTACATAGAATGAGTGGCCACTTTTCAGAACGTGTTAGAAAATGGCTCTCTGTTTGGGAAATGTAAATAGAAGTCTGTATTATTATGTCCTTTATAGAAAGGATAACGTTGGCGAAGCTATGTACGAGTTCCATATGGAGAGGATAATGTGTTTCTTTTTATTGTGCTGTACAGAGAAATAATACATGATGGAATATACCTTACATTTGCTGACGTAAATATTCAATACACGTTCTTTTTAAAGCTGAAAGAATCCATGCAAATAATCGTTGTAAAAAAACACACTACAAATTCACGGGAATCATGCTAAAATGCGAACAACCAACTACTCTCTTCATTTGCGTTTATTGAACCAGCAATCAATATTAAATACTCTGTTGAGAGGTTTTAGTTTTCTTGTTCAATGACCACGTGCAGTGTTCAATACGGCAGTGTTTCTTTTAAACATTAACTTAAATAGTGTGTTCAGTAAATGAAAACTCTTTGTCCAGATCAGAGAGTATTGTTTCTTGTGTTGTATTGTTTTTACTAATCGTGCTGAATTGCTAATATGTTCATATATCGTAGAGACGCGATATTTTGGCAGAGTCCATGACGCCATTTTATGTTGATGTTTCCTCAATTCCTGATTTTGTTTCTTTTATCGACTCTGTAGCCGTTACATTTGATCATAACGTATATATTTTAAGTAAAGTAATTCCATTGAAATAACTTTTAAACCTTTTATATTTCACACGCTGATGTCAGATTTATATACATGCATCAGTTGTTAGAGACTGTTCATTGATACTTTTACCGTCACGCATGCAGGACGGTACAATGATCAGAAACTGAAAAGTATGTTATATAAATAAGATACCTTGTCGTTCAACCGGAAGCTGTATATAGAATAGGCCCCAGTTTCACGAGTTCGTAAATTTTGTTTCTTAAGATTTTCCACAGGAAAAAATTATTGAAATCAATACATTTTCTTTCATTAAAAATAGTTATAACATGAAGTTAAGAAAACTGGGGTCACATCAGATACCAACTGCAGAGATACGAGAACAAATCACAGTATAGATGTTTGTTCTATTTTGTAACGTGAGAGTACCCAGATAGAAACATTCTAAAGAAAGCTATCCTCATTTCCGATTTAGAAGTCGGAACATCAATTTTATTATTCATATAAACAGCACATGTGTCTGTTGATTGATGTCAGGTTCACCTACTCCAACAATGTTAGAGGTTTCCACGGCGAGATACTCTCAGTCGTCAAAATCATATCCGATAGAAAAAAAGGCCGACCAGCGGCCTCTTATGTTATAGGAGTAGCGGGATACCCAAAACGGAACACCATATCCTATTCTTATTTCGTCCTTCTAGGACTCATCGGATATACTAAAGGGCAAAAAGTTGGAATTCCCAATAGGTCTCACCTACTGTTAAGACATAAGGGGAGGTGCATAAAATCCCTTAACTTATGAATTTCAAACACTTGAGTACTGGTTATTTTCAAATAATTTGATAAAGTGTATACAAAGGTAAAATATCAATTTACTTAAAACTTGAATACAATTTTGGATTTTAAAAATATCTTGCTATTGTAAGAAATTCCACTTGAAAGTGTTGTCATAAGCTATGTATTGAAGTTGGAAGATACCAGAGCCGGGATGATAGGCATAGTATCGTCAGATATTTAATTATTAATAAGATATTGGAGAAACCATAGAATGTCATAAACAATTAAAAACTGTTACAATGATATTTTCATTTGGGAATTTTTACAAGAAAAATTGCCATAACATATCATTGTTCAACCAAATCATTGAATAAATCATCTTGAATAATGAACCGTGTGTGTTTCTGTATTTTTTGTTGTTGCCACAAATTCCGATTCAACATACACACACACAACGATGTCTCCTTATTTTTATATGAATGTCACAATTTGCACCATTCTTTCTGACGTTTAAAATGTACAGAATTGAAAAATAGCACGTTTTGCTTTTATCTAATAATTCATGGCATCGAACAGCTTAAATTCTGGCATTCTATACAGATAATATGTCAAAAAGGGCACATTTTCAATACTTTAATTCAGTCTTAAAATATCATGCAATTTCTCCCCGATGGAAATTTTGAAACTTTTGCAAGTAATAAACACCTGATGACGTGATACACAATACTTCACCTAGTAAGTTTAAGTATGGTACTGAGAAGGGTGAATATAAGGCATGTATGGTACTGAGAAGGGTAAATATAAGGCATGTATGGTACTGAGAAGGGTAAATATAAGACATGTATGGTACTGAGAAGGGTGAATATAAGACATGTATGGTACTGAGAAGGGTGAATATAAGACATGTATGGTACTGAGAAGGGTGAATATAAGACATGTATGGTACTGAGAAGGGTGAATATAAGACATGTATGGTACTGAGAAGGGTGAATATAAGACATGTATGGTACTGAGAAGGGTGAATATAAGACATGTATGGTACTGAGAAGGGTGAATATAAGACATGTATGGTACTGAGAAGGGTGAATATAAGACATGTATGGTACTGAGAAGGGTGAATATAAGACATGTATGGTACTGAGAAGGGTGAATATAAGACATGTATGGTACTGAGAAGGGTGAATATAAGACATGTATGGTACTGAGAAGGGTGAATATAAGACATGTATGGTACTGAGAAGGGTGAATATAAGACATGTATGGTACTGAGAAGGGTGAATATAAGACATGTATGGTACTGAGAAGGGTGAATATAAGACATGTATGGTACTGAGAAGGGTGAATATAAGACATGTATGGTACTGAGAAGGGTGAATATAAGACATGTATGGTACTGAGAAGGGTGAATATAAGACATGTATGGTACTGAGAAGGGTGAATATAAGACATGTATGGTACTGAGAAGGGTGAATATAAGACATGTATGGTACTGAGAAGGGTGAATATAAGACATGTATGGTACTGAGAAGGGTGAATATAAGACATGTATGGTACTGAGAAGGGTGAATATAAGACATGTATGGTACTGAGAAGGGTGAATATAAGACATGTATGGTACTGAGAAGGGTGAATATAAGACATGTATGGTACTGAGAAGGGTGAATATAAGACATGTATGGTACTGAGAAGGGTGAATATAAGACATGTATGGTACTGAGAAGGGTGAATATAAGACATGTATGGTACTGAGAAGGGTGAATATAAGACATGTATGGTACTGAGAAGGGTGAATATAAGACATGTATGGTACTGAGAAGGGTGAATATAAGACATGTATGGTACTGAGAAGGGTGAATATAAGACATGTATGGTACTGAGAAGGGTGAATATAAGACATGTATGGTACTGAGAAGGGTGAATATAAGACATGTATGGTACTGAGAAGGGTGAATATAAGACATGTATGGTACTGAGAAGGGTGAATATAAGACATGTATGGTACTGAGAAGGGTGAATATAAGACATGTATGGTACTGAGAAGGGTGAATATAAGACATGTATGGTACTGAGAAGGGTGAATATAAGACATGTATGGTACTGAGAAGGGTGAATATAAGACATGTATGGTACTGAGAAGGGTGAATATAAGACATGTATGGTACTGAGAAGGGTGAATATAAGACATGTATGGTACTGAGAAGGGTGAATATAAGACATGTATGGTACTGAGAAGGGTGAATATAAGACATGTATGGTACTGAGAAGGGTGAATATAAGACATGTATGGTACTGAGAAGGGTGAATATAAGACATGTATGGTACTGAGAAGGGTGAATATAAGACATGTATGGTACTGAGAAGGGTGAATATAAGACATGTATGGTACTGAGAAGGGTGAATATAAGACATGTATGGTACTGAGAAGGGTGAATATAAGACATGTATGGTACTGAGAAGGGTGAATATAAGACATGTATGGTACTGAGAAGGGTGAATATAAGACATGTATGGTACTGAGAAGGGTGAATATAAGACATGTATGGTACTGAGAAGGGTGAATATAAGACATGTATGGTACTGAGAAGGGTGAATATAAGACATGTATGGTACTGAGAAGGGTGAATATAAGACATGTATGGTACTGAGAAGGGTGAATATAAGACATGTATGGTACTGAGAAGGGTGAATATAAGACATGTATGGTACTGAGAAGGGTGAATATAAGACATGTATGGTACTGAGAAGGGTGAATATAAGACATGTATGGTACTGAGAAGGGTGAATATAAGACATGTATGGTACTGAGAAGGGTGAATATAAGACATGTATGGTACTGAGAAGGGTGAATATAAGACATGTATGGTACTGAGAAGGGTGAATATAAGACATGTATGGTACTGAGAAGGGTGAATATAAGACATGTATGGTACTGAGAAGGGTGAATATAAGACATGTATGGTACTGAGAAGGGTGAATATAAGACATGTATGGTACTGAGAAGGGTGAATATAAGACATGTATGGTACTGAGAAGGGTGAATATAAGACATGTATGGTACTGAGAAGGGTGAATATAAGACATGTATGGTACTGAGAAGGGTGAATATAAGACATGTATGGTACTGAGAAGGGTGAATATAAGACATGTATGGTACTGAGAAGGGTGAATATAAGACATGTATGGTACTGAGAAGGGTGAATATAAGACATGTATGGTACTGAGAAGGGTGAATATAAGACATGTATGGTACTGAGAAGGGTGAATATAAGACATGTATGGTACTGAGAAGGGTGAATATAAGACATGTATGGTACTGAGAAGGGTGAATATAAGACATGTATGGTACTGAGAAGGGTGAATATAAGACATGTATGGTACTGAGAAGGGTGAATATAAGACATGTATGGTACTGAGAAGGGTGAATATAAGACATGTATGGTACTGAGAAGGGTGAATATAAGACATGTATGGTACTGAGAAGGGTGAATATAAGACATGTATGGTACTGAGAAGGGTGAATATAAGACATGTATGGTACTGAGAAGGGTGAATATAAGACATGTATGGTACTGAGAAGGGTGAATATAAGACATGTATGGTACTGAGAAGGGTGAATATAAGACATGTATGGTACTGAGAAGGGTGAATATAAGACATGTATGGTACTGAGAAGGGTGAATATAAGACATGTATGGTACTGAGAAGGGTGAATATAAGACATGTATGGTACTGAGAAGGGTGAATATAAGACATGTATGGTACTGAGAAGGGTGAATATAAGACATGTATGGTACTGAGAAGGGTGAATATAAGACATGTATGGTACTGAGAAGGGTGAATATAAGACATGTATGGTACTGAGAAGGGTGAATATAAGACATGTATGGTACTGAGAAGGGTGAATATAAGACATGTATGGTACTGAGAAGGGTGAATATAAGACATGTATGGTACTGAGAAGGGTGAATATAAGACATGTATGGTACTGAGAAGGGTGAATATAAGACATGTATGGTACTGAGAAGGGTGAATATAAGACATGTATGGTACTGAGAAGGGTGAATATAAGACATGTATGGTACTGAGAAGGGTGAATATAAGACATGTATGGTACTGAGAAGGGTGAATATAAGACATGTATGGTACTGAGAAGGGTGAATATAAGACATGTATGGTACTGAGAAGGGTGAATATAAGACATGTATGGTACTGAGAAGGGTGAATATAAGACATGTATGGTACTGAGAAGGGTGAATATAAGACATGTATGGTACTGAGAAGGGTGAATATAAGACATGTATGGTACTGAGAAGGGTGAATATAAGACATGTATGGTACTGAGAAGGGTGAATATAAGACATGTATGGTACTGAGAAGGGTGAATATAAGACATGTATGGTACTGAGAAGGGTGAATATAAGACATGTATGGTACTGAGAAGGGTGAATATAAGACATGTATGGTACTGAGAAGGGTGAATATAAGACATGTATGGTACTGAGAAGGGTGAATATAAGACATGTATGGTACTGAGAAGGGTGAATATAAGACATGTATGGTACTGAGAAGGGTGAATATAAGACATGTATGGTACTGAGAAGGGTGAATATAAGACATGTATGGTACTGAGAAGGGTGAATATAAGACATGTATGGTACTGAGAAGGGTGAATATAAGACATGTATGGTACTGAGAAGGGTGAATATAAGACATGTATGGTACTGAGAAGGGTGAATATAAGACATGTATGGTACTGAGAAGGGTGAATATAAGACATGTATGGTACTGAGAAGGGTGAATATAAGACATGTATGGTACTGAGAAGGGTGAATATAAGACATGTATGGTACTGAGAAGGGTGAATATAAGACATGTATGGTACTGAGAAGGGTGAATATAAGACATGTATGGTACTGAGAAGGGTGAATATAAGACATGTATGGTACTGAGAAGGGTGAATATAAGACATGTATGGTACTGAGAAGGGTGAATATAAGACATGTATGGTACTGAGAAGGGTGAATATAAGGCATGACTATGACATATACTACTGAGGATCTGCTACAACCACACGGCCATTAAAGGCTAAGGGGACTCACAGCAGTCAGACCCTAACAGTAGACGTATGTTGTCACCAGTGTAGAAGTAGACCTTCAACTAATGAAATTGTTGCCTTTATAGCAACCTTACAGCAAATTGACGGTTTTTTCCAGTGAAGATAGCAACCGTACAGAAAAATGACGTTTCGCAAATGAAAGTCACAACCGTACAGCAAAGTGACGTTTTGCCTGTGAAGATAGCAACCTTACAGCAAAGTGACGTATTGCAAATGAAGGTTACAGCCTTACAGCAAAGTCACATTTTGCAAATGAAGAAAGCTACCT